CTCCAACGAATTATAATCATGAAAAATAACATAAACCCATGGATTAATCTGTTTGCGTATTGGTTTGGGTATACACTTAAAGGAATATTGCCATGGTTAGCATCCAACAAACTATCACATACAGTAAATACACCACAAATTTATAAAAACATAAAAACTACTTACCTTCACTACCGCGATAAAATAAATCTTTCAGACACCACAAAATTAAAACATATCTACAATGAAATAAACAAATTAGACTTTAATAAACCAAGTATTATGTACAAATATCCAACAATAGACTTCTTTAAAATATGGCAACAACTTGCTAGTATGCCTTATACCCTCTTCGATTTTGACCTCGTCATTTTCGTAACACATCAAGCACTGCCTACAAAACAAATATTATACGAGAGAAATCTATGTAGTAACAATAAATGCAGCCTATGCATGAAACATGAGGAAACATTTACACATATCTTCATACAATGTGAGACAATAAAACTCTATAAACAAAACGTCCAAACCTACCTAAAAGAATTCTCCACAAATAATCATTTTGAATTTAATAAATACACACTACTGTTCCATGATGTAACATCACCAATTTTAATTTGTGGAATACTGTATTACCTGAAAACATTGTGGGAATATAAATGTAAAATCAAACCAAAGAATAGCATAAACAACAAAATAAACACAGAATTGACGCAACAATTTCTCAAAGATTTAAATGCCACTATAGCTATGTATAATCTAACAACAAACACAGATAACCCCCAACTGCCCTAGTAGTGTAACACTGACCCAGTCACCCACTGACCACGATCGAAGTCACATGCTATTTCTAACCTACAATAATTATAAATAAGACACAGGACATGTAGAATGAAAGAATCTATGAACAAAACAATATACTAATCAACTCTTATCAGAATAATAAAGACATTAATATAGATAACATAATAAGAAAACCGTTACCTGTTCACCAGTGAAATAAAAACATCCGGTTACAGTATTCATCGACATCATCCAGTCTCTCAGAGATACATACGACTGACACCTAGTAAAGTCTGCCGAATAAAACCGGACTGCACAAATTTTAATGTAATATATTATATATTTATATTTATTATATACTTGTACTTATTATATATTAAAACTTATTATATATTAAAACTTATTATATATTTGTAATTATTGTATATTCAACAATTTGTATATAATAAAAGATTCTAAAAAAAAAAAGAGTATTGAAACGTTGCATGTAATAAACCAAGAAGTAGTAAATCCATAAAGTTGTGTTATTATGAATATTATACCTCTACTTCTAAATGTCATTCAAGGAACTTATCAAACATCATTATGGTGATGAGACAAATAGGATTATTAATGTGTTTAAAACTGCATAACAAACTGTGTAAGACAAATAACAATTTGACTTTTTTACTAAGATGTCGCGACAACAACATTATTCCCAATGGGTTACGGATCACTTCTCCTATTCAGTCTGCAACAGCTAATAAGATACTAAGAAAAGCAAGTAGCAAATTAGTTTTAGAAAGAATTGCATATAACCGAAAGAACAAGCAAGAACTGATTGGGAAAGAGAGTGATACTAGACACATACTAGAAAATATTTTACAAAATGACCACTTAGATAGCCTTTTATCTATGCAACAGAAAGCAGATACGAAACAGAGTAACCAAATTAAAAGCCGGCACCAAAATAAATTCAATAGATTAAGTTTCATCAGTAGAGGTGAAAAGAACAAGAATAAGCCAGATGATAAAAATGTCAAAGATTACGTTAAGAGAACAGTTGTGAATTTATCTTCTACCAACTTAACAGAACCACAAACCTCGCTACTAGCAAAAGGGTTAAAGTTTATCCCAACTACAGCAAAAGTACCTAAAGAATCATTCATAACGCAGATAGAACAAGGACTACAAAAGCTGGCCCCGGGTGGTAACATTGATTTTACTAGACACCAAATTAAAAATTTACTTGTGAAACCTATCAATCAAAAACCAAACCTAACTAAAAACGAAATTAAGGCCATCAAAGAATTAAAAGACAATAAAGAAATATCTATTGTACCAGCAGATAAAGGGAAAGCAACAGTGATTATGGATACAGATCAATTAGAAATAATGGTGTCCCAAACCCTGTCAGATACAACAACCTATAAAAAAAGTTACCTAAAGATCCAACCCAAAAACTAGATCGGAAACTAAAAGCCACCTTAAAGATACTTAAAGAATCAGGTGAGATCGATCCTGAAACATATGAAAAGCTCAATATCTCGCACCCATCAACGCCATATGCCAAAGCTCAGGTCAAAATACATAAGAACCCGGTCAAAGTTAGATTACTGATTTGCTCTAGAGGAACTGTATTCTACAACACAGCCAGATACCTGTCAAACGCACTATCAGAATTAGGAAAGTCAGCAGAATCATACATTAAAGACAGCAAAGAACTTCGAGGTAAAATAGAGAGACAATCACAACTAGGAAAACTGATCAGTTATGATGTAGTGGACCTATTTACCAGCATACCAATCGATGAAGCCTTAAACTGTGTGAGATCGAAAATCCAAAGTCAAACAACAAACCTCAATACCAGCATAAGTCCGGATAGTATAATGAAATTATTACAATTATGTATTACATCTACATATTTTACTTGGAAAGATGAAGTGTTTGAACAAATCCATGGTTTACCAATGGGATCACCAATAAGTCCAGTTATCACCGAAATATATATGACAGCCTTTGAGCAAAATGCCCTGATAGTATCCCCATTCCAACCTAGTATTTGGCTTAGGAAAGTGGACGATGTGTTTGTTGTTATGAAGGAAGAGGAAGATCACCAACTACTACTCCACCACCTCAACTCAATCCATCCCCGAATACAATTTACAGTTGAAGAAGAAAATAATAAACAACTACCCTTTTTGGACATCCTAATTGATAGAAATGATGATAAATTAACTACAAAAGTGTATAGAAAACCGACTCACACAGATCAATATATTAATTTCACTTCAGCCCACCCAACAACAACCAAGGCAGGAATAGTTTCGATACTTACCAGAAGAGCTCACAATATTTGCACTGATGACAAAATTGAAGAAGAAATTGAACATATTACTGAATCTCTAACCAATAACAACAACTACCCATTAGAATTTGTCAAAAAAGTTATTCATAGTACCACAGAAAAACTGAACAAAGCCCCAAACGTGACAGGTAAAGAAAAGGCTCCAATTCATATCAACATTCCATATATAGGCCCAACAAGTTATAAAATTAAAAGATTACTAACTAGATTGCAAATAGATGTAACATTTAGTGGGGGGATATCATTAAAATCACTTATCAACGCCCATGGGAGAACAAAAATACCAACAGTGGACCCAAAGGGTATAGTTTACCAGATCCAATGCGATTGCAAATCCATTTACATAGGCGAAACATGCCGACCATTATCAGTGAGACTCAAAGAACACAAAGCAGCAACTAGACGTATGGAACCAAACAAATCTGCAGTAGCCGAACATATTATAAACAATCCTACCCATAACATAGAATGGGACAACACCAATGTGCTTACCAAAAATATTAAAGTATGGAAGAAAAGAGTTTTGTGGGAAGCATTAGAAATCCGAAGACAAAAACCAAAAATGAATAAAGACAATGGAAGAGCCATTTCTAATGTATGGAATGAATTATTTTGTTAAGCAAGTTATTATCCATTATTGGAACTATTTATAAGTATTATACAAAAGGATACCATAAGTATCAATTATCAGTGAAGTAAAATTAAAATAATTTTTTATCAGTGGAGTGGATCTATAAGTTATTATTCGTATCAGTGGAGTGGAAATTAAAAATTTTTATTTATCAGTGGAACTATTATTTATAAGGGCTACTATAACTTATTTATTTGTTCTATTGGAACAATAATTAAAAAATTTTCTATATAATAATATGGTAAATGTATGAGCAAGAGGGGGTGGGTTCAACCTAACTAATTATGCATAATGTATTGAAATTAGTCATATTAAATATTTGATGGTGTGGGTAATGGGTTTTGATTGCATTTTAGCTTAGGCGGTGGCTTCAATCCCCACTTTTAACACCTTAGATTGAAGAAAAATGGTAAAGCCATACTCAAAGGGAAATGTTTGTTGTTATAGTCTTAATTAATGTTATGTTTTTATTGTTAAATGGTTCTTACTCATGGATGTACTATAAATGTAGAGTTGTTATTCATTATTGATCATTGCTTGATAAAGATAAAGATATCAATTCAACCATCCAGACATGGGAAAATCACTCTCTTTCATATAAAGAAAAAGTATGCATCTTAAACACCTATATACTCAGCAAACTATGGTTTGTTGCTAGGATAGTTCCTCCCTCAAACTCAATTATTAAAAACATAAATAAAATAATCTACAATTTCATCTGGGAAAATAAAAGTGAAACAATTAATCGAAACACCTTGAACCTAGAGCATAAAAATGGTGGCCTTAAAGTGCCAAACATTCGACTAAAAATCCAGGCAATGCAACAACAACTTATAGTAAAAGCAATCAAAGACAACAACAGTCCCTGGTTAGGCCTATACATATACTGGCTAGGATTTACTACAAGGGATACTCTGCCAAGATATGCATCCAATAATTATACCCACTCGGAAAAACTCCCCCAATCATATATAGATATAAAAGAAACTTACATTAGCCTCAAACCATCCATCAAATATACATACAATACAAAACTTAAAGACATATACTGGTCCCTAATTGACTTATTACAGACACAACCAAAAATAAATAAACAATTACCTCATGTTGACTTTTCAAAAGTCTGGACAAACCTCTATAAATGCTCCTCCTTATCTGAAAAAGAAACGGATTTCATGTATACACTCATCAATAATGCAGTACTAACAAAAGATATTATGCTATACAGAAATATATATACTATCAACTTTAAATGCCACTATTGTAACCGAGCAACTGAATCTTACCATCATTTATTTCTGAATTGCCCCAAATTAAAATTCTATAAATGTTTCATTACTACACATATAAACAACATTCATCTCACCAAAGAATTCAAAATCAACAACAATACAATCCATCTACACAATATAAAATCTAAATACATTCATGATATATACCTATACCTGTCGATCATATGGTCTAACCGAACACACCCTCTATCCACCAATATTTCACAAGAGCTTATTATACCAATTCTATACAAAAAGAAAACAAAAATAAAGATTACTCTCTCAAGCTCGAGTCTTCACTACCTTATGACCCTCCTTAAGCCTAGGTTTGTGTCGTCATGTCTGAATTTATACTCTGCAACTTCTCCCATGAAATATTGACTTTGCTACTATAATAAGTAGCTACAACCATAGACATCTTCTTATATTTCTTTCGTATATGAGCACTCATTGCAAATTTTTTTTTTTTTTTTTTTTTTTTTTTTTTTAAGAAAGGATTTAGGCCTACAAGCGAAAATAACCAAACGCCTGTAGGCCTACCCCATATAAATTCTGGAAAATTTTGGCTTAATTGATAAACCAATATTATACAAAAGGAAATAAAATCGAAATCACCAAGCTTCAGCCTACTCTGCCTTACCGAATTCTCCTGTATAAGGCAAGTTATCGTCCTGTATGAAGCTTCCATATTAATTACTCTACTATATGACTAAACAGACCGTGCTATTTACCTTAAGTTGTCACAACTTGACATCTTAGTCATCTTTCGTTTTCGTTAAATGGCACTATCTCACTCTGTCATATAAATAAAATACCTATACACCCACTGAAATATGTCCAACAGTAAAATAGAAATCTATTAAAAACATTTAAACACTAACTCAAGTTTTACCCGTTTGTTTTACCGCTATTCAGTCACTGTAATCAACACTCACCTCTAACATTAACATGGCCATCATAACATCCCACAATTCCCTATGCACGTTCTTTTTGTGCTGGGAAACATCACACTCTCTTTCAACCAGACGCTTTTCCACTACAGACTTCAAATATATTTTTAGCTGTATATAAGAAAGTAGCTATAATATAGGAACTTTGATTGTATTTTGTATTATATTACCGTTTGTATATATCATCTCATATTGACTTAAATTATAAATTTAAATTATAAATTATAAATTATCTATTGCATTGTTAATATAATTATGCATAACTGAATGTAAAAAAAAAAAAAAGAGTATTGAAACGTTGCATGTAATAAACCAAGAAGTAGTAAATCCATAAAGTTGTGTTATTATGAATATTATACCTCTACTTCTAAATGTCATTCAAGGAACATATGAATAATGTTTATATTCATATGAAACATCATGGATTATTACCCAAGTTTCAACTATTATATCAATTAAATCCATATATAGAAATTATTGATGATAAAATCCTTGTGAAATTTATTAGTAGGATAATATAGTTATACTTTATAATACTTATTATTTTTTTTAATATTTCTATGCCTTTTGATAAATAAAATAAATTAAAAAAAAAAAGATTGTCCATCATCCAAAATATTTACATATAACTTAAAATTGTTCACCCAAGACCCTTTTCAAAAATAAAAAATAACACCCTATCCAATACAATTCATACTTCTGTTAGACTGGTTAAAAGTGCTACCAACACCCTGGTGCTACCCTGGGACATATTTTATATTGGTAGCATCGAAGTTGTAATATTTAACGCAGGACGCCGTGTTGGTCAAGGGAGACAACTCGAATCGTATTGACAGGCTAAAACTGACGGGTGTTGGGTGGCCGAATTGTTTAAAGCGTTGTATCACAAGGTCTGCCATTGAGTGGCGTGGTTTCGATTCGCTGCTTGTACGTGAAAAAGAGAAGGTTCGCCTGTCCAATCTCATGGGTTATCCCGGGTCCTCCAATTGCCCCCACGGGTACGCGCAAGCGAGTTATTGAGATAACATTGAACCATACGTTAGTCCTTAGATGACGATTTCACTCTCTCACCATTGACGGGTTTGACCTTTTCGATCTAATCTAGCCCCGTTCAAAGAAATCTATAGACTGTGACGTCATTTTACCCACATAACAATATGATGTTAATTTTACGTTACATTTACGTAAAAATGGTTAGTCAGTTTACCATCATTTTGCTCATCTTTTTAACGATAATTTTACGTCAGGAAATGACGTTAATCTAACGTTAACTTTACGTCATTTTTACGTTATATTTACGTCATTTTCTGACGTAAATCTAACGTAAACTTTACGTCATTTTCTGACGTAAATCTAACGTAAAATTTGCGTAAAGTTTACGTCATTTTCGTTAGATTTACGTCAGAAAATGACGTAAACTTTACGTTAGATTTACGTCAGAAAATGATGTAAATATAACATAAAAATGACGTAAACTTTACGCTAGATTAACGTCATTTCCTGACGTTAAATTGTCGTTAAAAGGATGAGCAAAATGATGGATATCTAACCGACCATTATAACGTAAATCTAGCATTAAATTAACATCATTTACGGATGCAATTCTAATGTCAAATTTTGATGAGCATTAAAACCTTCAAAATTATTCATTATTCGCCGCAGTAAATGGGAAGTACATTCAACCAATAATCAAATTTTCCTGACCCGTGGGTGAGGCTAAAAGTTGAGTGGTCCAACGTGTGCGCTTTAGATCATAAGGTCTGTCATTGAGTCAAGTGGTTTCTTTCCACACCCAACTTGAACATGGGTTTTCTCTGGGTCCTCCTACTACTAAAGATTCCTGGTGCGGATGAATTATTCAACTTGAATTGAATCACTTAGTCCCAAAGGACAGTTTATGTCTATTGGATGTTTTACCCCACTGCTCTCTATCTACCCATAACCAGTCAGAATTCTAAATGTATTGCACAGAAAAGTTAAAAATCTAGCAGAATTATATGACAAAATATACTACAAGTATGTATACATATACTTTATTTAAAAGACAAAAATATAATGTTATAAAATACAAAATACACATTTAAATATTAACAGTTTTTATCCACAGCTGTTTGAGAAATGAAGACGGGCATATGCCACACAGTGTGCAGAGCTATGGCGTACTCTTATATAAAATTCCAACTGCCAAGGGATCTTTCACACACACACACTTGAGTTTACACTGTACCTTGGGTTTTTTTTTGTCCCTTCCGTATGACTAGTCAGCCATCCATGTCAGGTCCTCTGTCCGGCATCACTGACAAGGGAAAATGTTCAAGAAAAAGGTCTACATTAGCGCTATGAAAGTGTTGATATGCATATAAGAAAGAAAAAACTGGGATATTGACCAAATTGGGCCAAAACCTATAGCCTCTATCTTATTTGCTCAAGGTATTGATGGAATAGGAGTTAACTTTGGAATGAGTGAAATGAAATGGGGTTTAATGTCCTATTCCGACAGGGCTAATGACATGGAAATATGCTATACAGTGTCCTATTATGGAATTTTTTCCAGACAGTGGCGCTAAAGCCTACTCTTATATCGAATTCAAACTGCCAAGGGATCTTTCACGTGCGAACCAATGTGTGCACAGGACCTCGGTCATTCGTACCTTCCAAACGACTAGACAGCTGTCCCTCCTTGTCAGGCCCTCTGTCCTGCACCTCTGACAAGGGGAGGAAACCAAGTCTGGAAATCACGAAGAATTTTCTCGGCCGACACTGGAATGGAATGTTGTGGAATACTGAATATTGATAGGTTTTGTCCTCTCATGATTCTAGTGTGTAACACAAATTTGAAAAAGATCAATTAAGAATAAACACAGCATCTATTGCATTTGAAAAAAGGAGAATTAACCAAGGAAGGCAAAGTCCTGAAAAGCTGTATATTGATAATGCTTGTCCTCTCACAATCGGAATGATTCACATTTCACACCCAGTGTACGGACAAACAGGGCCAAAATTGATATGTGGGTGTATATACAAAGATATATACTACACCAATATTACATGTGTTGCAGAATTGGTTTAACACATTTCAAATATAATTGTAACACGGATATTTGCAATGGTTGATCCATGACAAAAGATTTGAAATATTTTGAAGAGACGCAAAAGGTTACGCCATACAGTGTGCTATGAGGGAAATTTTGCCCAGGCAGCAGCGCTATGGCCTACTCTTGTATCGAATTCCAACTGCCAATGTGTACACTGGACCTTGTTTTTTTTGTCCCATCCAAACGACTAGACAGCTGTCCTCGTCAGGCCCTCCGTCCTGCATCACTGACAATGAGAAACCACACCGGAAAATCAGGATGAACTTTCTCGGCCAATGCAGGGATCGAACACCCGACCTCAAGGCTAGCGAGTCAGCGTCTTACCCACTTAGCCACATGATCCCCCCTTGGCCTATGTATATGTAGAGATGAATTTTGAGCTACCTTTATATATATCTTTCTATTTTTAAAACCTGCGACAAGTATATTTATATCAAGGATGTAACCCTCTATCGGTTAACCCGTCACAGATTGGTTGCATTGGTGAACCGGTTCAAAATATTCGTTTCATATCATACCTGACCTTCAAATCCAGGAATTGTAGCCACAACGGGGATCACGTTGGTTAAGTCGGTAAGACACTGGCTATCTAGTCTGGAGGTCGGGTGTTCGATCCTTGCATTGGCCGAGAAAGTTACTCCAGATTTTCCGGCGTGGTTCTCCCTTGTCAGTGATGCAGGACAGAGGGCTAGACAAGACAGCTATCTAGTCATTAAAATGGGACAAAAAAATGAGGTCCCATGTACACATTGGCGTGCACGTACAAGAGCCCTTGAAATTAGAATTCGATATAAGAGAAGGCCGTAGTGCCACTGTCCGGGCAAAATTTCCCACATAGCACACTGTATGGCGTATGCCCATCTTCATTAGCCCAGTTCAGAGCAAAACAGTAGGACGTTAAACTTTCATTTCACTAGCCACAGCTCTGTTTTCTTTCACCAAAGGGGGGGGGGGGTGGATGGCTGAATGGTTAGCGCGCGCTGTATCATAAAGTCTGTCATTGAGTCGACTGGCGTGGTTTCGAATCCCCGGTTGTACGTGGCAAGGAGTAGGGTCGCCTGTCCAACCTCGTGGGTTTTCTCCGGGTCGTCCGGTGTCCTCCCCCTGCTAAAGACCCCTACGCGCAAGCGAATTATGTAAATGAAAAATTAAACCATGTTAGTCCCGAAATGACCTAGTTTGTGTCCAGTTGACAGTAAACCCCATTTCTCTCTCTCTCTTTTTCACCAAAGGGGGGGATCAAGTGGCTAAGTGGGTGAGACGCTGGCTCGCTAGCCTGGAGGTCGGGTGTTTGATCCCTGTATTGGCCGAGAAAGTTCATCCTGATTTTCCGGCGTGGTTTCCCTTGTCAGTGATGCAGGACAGAGGGACTGACAAGGACAGCTGTCTAGTCGTTATGGGACAAAAAAACGGGGTCCCGTGTATACATTGGCGTGCACGTAAAAGATCCCTTGGCAGTTGGAATTCGATATAAGAGTAGGCCGTAGCCCCGCTGCCCAGGCAAAATTTCCCTCATAGCACACTGTATGGCATATGCTCGTCTTCATTAGCCCAGGTTAGGAGCAGAACAGTAGGACGTTAAACCCCATTTCATTTCATTTCTTTCACCAAAGACCGCATAAATACTTCATTTAGCACTTGTCATTTGAAACAGTTATAGCATAAGTCGATGTTGAGTATAAGTCAAATTGCCAAATTTTACATTTTTCCGACCTACATCCATAATTAAGTAGAGGCGGTATATAAGACTAATGTTTATCCTAGTCTAATACCGTGCCGGTGTACCCCGAAGAAAAGTTGGGCCATATAAATAATGAGGGTCTGGGACAGTTGTCAATAACACTTGCATTTATAAACAAACATGAATAGCGATGACGAATTAGGATTCAATAAAAAAAAAAACATAGATATGGCCCATGAAGAGAGAAATTTTACAATAAAAAAAATTAAGAGTGTTGGATATTGAACTGACAATGCAATCAAATGGATTTTCGGAAATGGCATTCTTATATAAATTTCATGGGCGTCAACATCTTGTTTTAGGACTAGTTACCTCCCTTAGACTTTGTTTATGATAATGTAAAAGACCGGATAATCTAGCCTATGACCGATTATTCTCAAATGTTGACAACGCAACCACACTAATATTCGTAGAATATAGAATATTTTTTTCTAGATGATAGAGACTAATAATATGCCAATATTGAAATGTGTGCATAAATATGGTATATACTTAACTACACCAATATTATACCTATGTCATAGAATTTGTTACACACATTACAAATATAATCTTAATAGAGATCTTTGCTATGGTTGATCTATCAGTAAAAATTGGAAGATTTGTAAGGAACGCAAAAGGTTATTGTTTACTGGCTGCAGCAGGGAGCAATAACAGGAACACAGATGATTTTCAACTCACTGATACAACTCAGTTTAAATTTTAAGCCAAAGAGCTGTTATATAATACTGTGACAGGATATCTGCTCTAAACTAACTAGTCATCAAAGAATTGACTGTCAAAAGTTCAGACAGAAAGTATTTTAGGCCTACAATGCTTGTAAAGCTTTGGCCTACATTCTGATGATATTTGTGCTACCATAGATACATATATATTTATATCATTACATTATGTGACAAGTAGTAGTGTTTGGCAAGTAGTAGTGTTGTCTAACTTTCATTATAAAGCCCATATAAATCTTTTTAGAACTTCTTTGTCATTACTGCCACCACGGGTGCTCAAATATACATGTAGGATCTGTAAAAAAAAAAATAAATAAATAAAAAGCAACTTTATACTCCCCAAAAAAACGATATTGGGTTAAACGGCCTACTGTTCAGCTCCAACTGGGCTGACAGCCAACCTACTGTGGATCTGTAATGAAATGGGGTTCAACATCATACTGTGCTGCTCAAACTGGGCTAAAGAAGTTGGACAAATGCTTGAAAGTGTGCTATGATGAAAATTTTGACTGGACCGTGTGTACAAAAGAGCTTGGTTTTTTGTCCTATCCGAACAACTGTACATTAGCCCTTACCAGCCCCTCTGTCTTGCACCAGTTAAAAGAGGAACCATGCCAGAAAATCCTGATGAACTTTCTTGGCCACCACAAGAAAAAATAAGCAGGGGAGTAGGACTGAAACCTTTATGTACAAGTATGTACGGGCAAACTTGTTATTTAATGTTATATCATATAAATAGGCCTATGTATATAAGCTTAAAGTCTTGATTATCCATTTTTCAATTAAATTAAATCATTAACATTAACCGCCAGTGTTTGAATCTGTGAACATCTCGAGCACCCGATGGCATTGAGACTTGATTATAGACTTAGCAAGTTAATACATTAAAATGTCTTATAAAAAAATTTAACATTTACAGTCTCAAGAAATACCTACTTAACCTACGTACAATATATAGATTTAGCTCTTGCATTATGCATTATTAAATTTGCAAAAATATCAATACAATAACAACAAAAAAACCCAACCTGAAACACCCATAAAAATGTTTAGAAAATACTACATGTACTTATATTATAATTAGCACAGCCTGAATTTTAACAGTCTACATCATTAAATTAATAAATTCGTTATGTGTTTGATAATTTTTGGATCCAGATTTTTTAAAAACAATTTTGGAACCAGTATTACTTTCGATAACTTAAAGCAATGTTGATTTTGTTTATGAATAGTATGGTTTACGGACAATGTAACTGCATCGTGTTAAAAACAAATACTGACTGTCTGATGATATACAAAGTTGCGTGCAAACTTTTTCCACGGCCAGATTATTTTTTTATGAACATTAGATCTATCGGTATACTGTCAACGGAAGTTCGCATAAAAAGTGCACTTACCTTCAACTTTACTTTGCTGAATCCAAAATCGTGTGTGTATGTGTGGAATAGCTTTATTTAACTTTAAATCACGGCATCATTTCTTCTTTGGGAAAAATAATTACCTATGCCGCCATTTTAAATCCCAGAATTCCGTACGTTCCGGTCAAACGAACAAACAAAAAATATTTAATAAATAATTGAAGCAATTTTGATAAATAACAACAATAACCGTAACCTATAAAAAAAATATTGTAATGTGAATAGAAATAATATGATATAAACCGATTTAAACACAATCATCAACAGTGAACAGATCGTGACCTTGACCTTGCCCGAGACGATAAAAATATATTTGTACATCTACATGTATTTAGGTCTAAAAATGGCGACTGTTCGTTTGAAAGGCCTGTAATATTTCTGATAATGAATCTATTCATATTATTTGTTTGTATACGCTCTACCATATTTTATATGAGGTTACATGATTACGTTATATTAAAAGAATAATCAAATCGGGTAATTTTAATTTATATTTACTGGTGAAAGGATCATTAATTTTATATTTACTGATGCAAGGTACTATATTTAATAAATTTAATTATAAAAACACTTCATGCATAGTCGGCCTAGGTGTGGACTACTCCTAACATTTGGACAGTGATAACCTTTTAGTAGAGAACAACTTTGCTTTATGAAACAGTTTCCGACAATCATTATTTGTTTTGTCAAATTTATGGGTATCAAAATTGAGAGAGAGAGAAATGGGGTTTAACGTTCACTTGACTCGATGATACAACAAAAAACACAATTACTATTTTAATTAAAGCGACATTTCGTTGAGGGTTCTCTCAACGTTTTCAAGTAAATGATGCTCAATAGTCAATGGGTGCACTCGTCCGCTTGCCAGCCTATCTTTTATAGTCCCATTGGTGCAGAAAAGTAGGAAAATTAAATAAAATTAAATGAGATTAAACATCCTACTGTTTTGCTCTGAGTGAGCTAATGAAGACAGGCATACACTATATACAGTGTACTATGACGGAAACTTTGCACGGATAGCGGCACTATGGCCTACTCTGATATTGAATTACAACTGTCGGAGTGTCTTTTACGTGCATGCCAATATGTACACGAGGACTTGATTTTTCGTATGACCCGAACAACTATACCTTATCCCTTGCCAGATCCTCCGCCCTGCCACAGTCCATAGAAAATTTCCGTCATAGCACTCTGCATTGCGTATGACTATCTTCAATAGTCCGATTGGTTCAGAAAAGTATAAAAATGAATTTTAAATGGGGTTTGAACATCCTACTATTTTGTTCCAAGTGGGCTAATGAAGAAGGGCATATGCTATAATGGTTAAAATGTTGTGATTTCGGGTTAAAATGCCGTGATGTTGGGTTATCGCCTTACGAAGGGTGATATCAGTCACCATATCTACTGGGTTTCTTTAATACTCATATTTATAGTATTTTATAGAGTCAGACTAGTGGACTAGTGAATGCACGGATTAGTGCACCCACAGACTAGTGAACCCGCAGACTAGTAATTGGTAATGATGGAAAAGTGTGTAAAGACATGTTTTACAGGTTGGCGTGCACTTAGAACTATTGGTAATGACTATATGTGGAAATGCTGCTCTCCAGGCAAAATGTCTTTCCTAGCACTTCTTCATTAGTAAGTGCGGTAATGCTGCTGTCCAGGCAAAATTTCTGTCATAGCACATCTTCATTACTAATTTTGATAAAGCCATGGTGGCTAAGTGCGTAAGATGCTGGCTCGGTAATCCGGAGGGCACGTGTTCGATCCCTGCATTGGTGGAGAAAGTTCATCAGGATTTTCCGACATGGTTTCCCCTTGTCAGAGGTGCAGGAACAAGGACAGTAGTCTAGTCACTCAGATGGGACAAAAAACCGAGGTACCATGTATACATTGGCTTGCACGAAAAGATCCCTTGGCAGCTGGATTCGATATTAGTAGACAAAATTTCCCTCATAGCACATTGTATGGTATGTACCTGTCTTCATTAGCCCAGTCGGAGCAGAACAGTAGGACAATAAACCGATTTCATCAGGACAAACCTACATGAGGAAAAACCTACATTTCACAAACTTAGTAATTAGTAACGGGGGGTTGGATGGCTGAATGGTTAGCGTGCGGGCGCTGTATCATAAAGTCTGTCATTGAGTTGACTGGCGTGGTTTCGAATCCCCGGTTGTACGTGACAAGGAGTAGGGTCGCCTGTCCAACCTCCGGTTTTCTCCCACTGCTAAAGACCCCTACGCGCAAGCGAATTATGTAAATAAAAATTAAACCATATGTTAGTCCCGAAATGACCTAGTTTGTGTCGAGTAGACGTTAAACCCCATTTCTCTCTCTCTCTCTCTCTAGTAATTAGTAACACACTGGCTAGCAAATGAGGGGTTCTGCTCCTAAACTGAGCTAATGAAGATGAGCATATGCCATACAGTATGCTATGAAGGAAATTTTGCCCAGGCAGCGGCGCTATGGCCTACTCTTATATCAAGTTCCAACTACCAAGGGATCTTTCATGTGCACTCCTGTGTGTACACGTGACCTCAGTTTTTCATCCCTGACTAGACAGCTGTTCTTGTCAGGCCCTCCGTCCTGTATCACTGACAAGGGGAAAACAAGCAGAAAAATCTGGATGAACTTTCTCAGCCAATGCAGGGATCGAACACCCGACCTCCAGGCTAGCGAGTCAGCGTCTTACCCACTTAGCCAACGTGATCCCCATGTTGGTCGAGAAAGTTCCCTTTGTTAGTAGTGGTGTAGGACAGAGGACCTCAAAAAAACAGTGTCTAGTCCATCACGTGGGTGTGCACGTAAAAGAACCCTTGACATTTGGAATTTGAAATGAGAGTAGATCATTCATTCATTCGTTTTCTCTTTGTGTGTCACCTAGAGACCGCAACTATTAAAGGAGCTAGATCTCTATTCTTGGGCACTTAGAAATGGATACAAAATGTAATGAAATGAAATGGGGTTTAACGTCCAACTGTTCTGCTCCGAACTGGGCTAATGAAGATGGCCATATACACCATACAGTGTGTTATGAGGGAAATTTTGCCCCGACAGTGGCACTACGGCCTACTCTTATATCGAATTCCAACTGTCAAGGGACCTTTTACATGCATGCCAATGTGTACACAGGACCTCGTTTTTTTTTTATCCCATCTGAACAACTAGACAGCTGTCCTTGTCAGGCTCTCCGTCCTGCATCACTGACAAGGGGAAACCACGCCGGAAATCTGGATGAACTTTCTCGGCCAATGCAGGGATCGAACACCCGACCTCCAGGCTAGCGAGCCAGGGTCTTACCCATTTTAATGACTAGACAGCTGTCTTGTCAGGCCCTTAATTGTTAGTATCATGACATTAAACTGACATTTGTTTTACGTTTTACAACTAATATCAGGTATATGTTAGAAAACTAACGTTAGATTTATGTTAGAAAACTAAAGTTAGATTTATGTTATAAAATTAACATTAGATTTACGTTAGAAAACTAACGTTAAATTAACGGTTAAAATTATGACATAAAACTAACATTACATTAACGTTAGAAAACTAACATTATATTAACGTTAGAAAACTAACGTTAGATTTACGTCAGAAAACTAACGTTAGATTTACGTCAGAAAACTAACGTTAGATTTACGTCAGAAAACTAACCATAAACTAACGGTTAGAAACCTGATGTAAAATTTACGTTAGATTAACGTTAGAATTATAACCAATAATACATATATAATTATTATGTCTGAATTCCGACTATATATCAATTGTTAGAATGTGCACACACTTGTAATGTTATTTAATCAAGAAATATTCAAAGGGAAAAAAATTGGTTAGTAATCCGTCATAAAGTTTACGTTACATTTACGTCATTTTCTGACGTAAAAGTAACCATAATCATTATGACGTAAAAGTAACGTAAATTTAACCAAAGAATTTTACCATTATTGGACGCTAACCAAAATCTAACCATAATGACGTAAACTTTACGTAAATCTAACCATCAATGTTAACTGGGTAGTACGCAATATTCCTAATTCACGTTTGTTTACTTCCGGATCAGTCCAACTCAAATTTATGAATACTCACCCAAATCCTGGCAGCAAATAAATGTATCAATTCAAACGTTCTTCGTCGATCCGAGATCAAAGACAAAACATAAGATTCAAAACGGGGGAGCGGGTGAAAGTCATAAATAGACAAACTATATTCATTAGTCAGGAACTTCAAAGTTAACACGAACCAGTGCTGACAGGTGGAACGTTAAACTCCATTCATTCTTGGGGGATTGGATGGCCGGATGGTTAGGGCGAACGCGTTTTATCATAAGGTTTGTCAATGACTGAACTGGTGTGGTTCGATTCCCCGGTTGTATGTGACAAGGAGTAGGTTCGCCTGTCCAAGCCTAACAAATTAATAAACGAAAATAACTTTAATGAATCAAAATGGTGGTCTTTGATAAAAAACAGAAACGTGTCTTTTAATAGGGGAATTCTGAATATAAACTACCGACACTTAAATCGAATGATATAATACTGTCTAAAACGAAAAACGCTAGAAACTATATATAAATCATTCATTCTTCCAATTTTCGATTATGCAGATTGTGTATGGAATAATTGTTCTAAAGATAAATCTACCCAACTTGAAAAACTTCAACTCGACGCATTGCGTACTATAACCGGTCTTCCATGTGGTACCTCTCATAACATACTTGATACGGAAACTGGAATCTGTCAGCTTCAATTAAGACGCTATCAACATAAAATGATACTTTTCTACAAATTTTAAATGGACTAGTCCCTACATATCTAACCGATATAGTTCCACCTCTTTTATCCGCTGACCATCCCAACCGTCTTCGAAACCCAAACCAAATAATTAAGCAAATAAACTGTAGAACATTACTTTACCAGAATTCTTTCTTTCCATCTTCTGTTAAACAGTGGAATGATCTAAGTCTTCCAATAAAAAATTCCAAAACTATTTCTGAATTCAAAACTAAATTAAAATCAAGCATGCCTTTAATCGAAACTAATGCCCACCACTATATTGGCGAATGGCATTTACAGATAATCCATTGTAAACTTCGAAACTCAAAGAGCGATTTAAACCTTCACAAGTGTTTGATACATATATCGGAAAATCCCCCTTGTTTATGTGGTCAAGGTGTCGAAGACTGTGAACATTATTTCTTACACTGTCCACTATACAACTCTTAGCGAAATATAACAATAAATAAATTAGATTTTGAACATAAAAATATACAAACGATACTTTCTGGAAACACGGCTATTTCTTTTGAGGACAATTCCTTCATCGTTGAAATCGTACATGACTTTATCAAACTAACGAAACGCTTTAAAACTGCCTAGATCATTACCAAACCTTTCCTCCCTCAGAAAGCAGGCGAACTCATAAAACTTGGCTAACTAATTTTGGGCCTTGGCATCGACATCGTCTTATTGAATATCTACCGTTATAATCTACTTGTATGTGTATTGTATGTTCATTCCAAGAGATCTTTACCTTCACCTTCTGCACCCTGTAAAATTTGTAAATCAAACATATCCAGTCGTCTATCTTCTCAATGATCATTATTTACGGAAGCGATTTTACATAAGCAGCAATGCTTGTTATTGTATCCATGTATGTTAAATATAGCTGTCACTCACTAAGAAATAAAATATTGTTTAAACTCTTAAACCTCGTGGGTTTTCTCCGGGTCCTCCGGTTTCCTCCCACTGTTAAAGACCCCTACGCACAAGCGAATTATTGAAAAAAATTCGAACCATATGCTAGTCCCGAAATGACCTAATTTGTGTCGAGTGGACGTTAAACCCTTTTTCTCTCTCTTTCTCCATTCATTCTTAAGTAATTAAAGGACTTGTCAATACTATACGCTAACCCGTAAGGCTGATACAGAGCCATGGTGGCTCAGTGCGTTGGACGTTGCCTCGCTAACCTAGAGGTCCCGTGTTCGATCCCTGCTTTGGCCGAGAACGTTCATCGAGATTTTCCGGCGTGATTCTGCTTTGTCTGTCTTGTAGGGCGGGTGACCTTGCACGCAACAACGTATAGTCGTTTGGATGGGACGAAAGACCGAAATCCCTTGTACACATAGGCATGCACGTAAAAGAACCCTTGACAGTTTTACTTCGAGATAAGCGTAGGCCATAGAGCCGCTGTCTTGGCAAAATGTCCCTCATAGCAAGCTACATGGCGTATGTCCGTTTTCATTAGCACAAACGGAGAACTGAGGACGTTAAGCCCCATTTCATTTCATTTCATTTGTACATACGCATGTGTATTGCACAACAACTTGACAATAGCTGCGTATACTGAAAATATCTCTTTTATAATGTAAATAATGACTGTGAACGAAGTGATATAGGTCATATGTATGATATAACTGTTATAACTTTAAACAGCAGATAGCGAGGAATACTGGCTTCTCAGAAACTATACTTGTGTAATTCTTGGAAACAAGTAACTATTTTACAATCTCACTGTTACAAGGTAGTGTTTATAATTATTATTACCATTATTTTACCGTTACTGTTACAAGATAGTGTTTAGTGTTTATTACCAACTGCACGTGGGGGGCGGGGGGGGATTTATACAAATAATCAATATATAGTAAATTATTAATTAAACATTTATAATTTACACAACTACAATGTTAATATAACAAAAAGCAACACCTTGAATTAAGGAATATTTTGAATTTTTTAATAAAATATGATTCCTTTGCTTCTAATAGATAGTTGTTTTTGCTGTTTAATTGATATAACGGAAAGACATTAAAATTGCATTTGCCACAAACATCGAGGGGTCGGCTCAGGTGTATTATCCTGTATAGCGGATTAAGAATATGTTGTCGATGGAGGTTCATTCTTAATCTAAGCATATTTATGGTCTTTCCGATATATCTACCCTTACAGCCCGGAAAATTATAACAGATTTACAAGTCATTGGTTGTTTTACATGAAATGTAAAATTGTCCGTGATATTTATGGATGAACCTTCAATTATGATTGAACACGTTTTACATTTGGATTCATTACACTTGTTAACTGTGGGTATGATTTTAGTTGATTCGAATTTTGATGAGATTAGTAATTTAGCCAAGCTGCTTTAAACTATTTATTATTTTTGTCTTATTTATTACATCATCCATAATCGGGCTATTTTTAAGAATATGGAGATTATTATTAATTATAGATTTACCATCTCCTTGTGATGGGTTTTTGGACACCTTAATTTGCTCTGATCTAAACTTAAAGCTTTTCGAATGACATCATCTACTAGTTTTGCCGGGTAGTGTTGCTTTTTTAGAAAACCTTTAAGCTCATTAAGGCGCATCTATTTGATATCCGATTGTGAAACTATGGTGTCTGTCGGTTTATAATACATATCATTTTAATTTGACCATTCGGTAAAAGATTCACCGTGACATCGAGAAAGTTTAGTTTTACTTTACTAGATTCAACAGTGAATTTAATGTCGACATCTAGGCTATTCAAGAGTTCGTTAAATCATCTCTGGTAGACAGATTCTAATAACACTCTAACTAAACGGTATAAATATTTCATGTATATTTAGACAATTACATATTTTAAATATAAGAATTGTTTTATAATATAGATGTATTGATTAATTCTTGATTAATAAGACAGAATACGGCGAATTTTTACATTGTTATTGTATTTATATCATCTTTAAAACTAAAACAACATCTTTAATATATTTTAGGTTGCGGTTTAAACTACGTCAAGCTGAAAAGGATGGAAATATACAGGAAGTCGTAGAAATATTATCATTACAAGATAAGATGCAAGCTTTACCTATAGCTGCTGAATACGGGTTTTATAAAGTTATGGTTTGTCTGTTAGAAGACGGAGTTGTTGATATACATTATGTTGGGTGACCTATTTACGGCAAATATAAAAATTTAAAAGACCGTAGAATTGTGAAATGAATAGACCTACACAACTTCTAAATATAAATAAACAAAATACCAATACTTCTTTCTTTAAACTAATTTGGGATGATCGGGTCTACTATGGCACACAAAAATAAATTATGCCGTGACAGACATGGTTTGCGTACGTCGGCTTTTACCATGGCTTTGCCGTTTAATTGCCGTGGTAAATTTAGAGCGCAAGTTTGTGTACAGAGAAGGGCGAAGGGGTTTAAATACGACTGGGCGGCTTTCTTCGATTTTTTCTTTGTGCTGCAGGCGACAAAAAATACTGACGGACGCAAGCGCCAGGCGCCACCCAGCGTGGCTACACCCCTGAATGCTGGTGTAGATGTCAACCAGGTGAATGATGATAAAGATACACCTATATTGATAGCTGCTGAACGAGGGTTGTATGAAGTTGTGATATATCTGTTAAAACATGGAGTAGATGTACATGGTGTTGATAGCTATAAGGACAACCTGATATATAAACTTTTAGATTACTATGATAATGATGACAAACCAGGTAGACGTGATTTGTTATTACAATGTGTAGTTACATAAGTTGATGCTGGTGTAGATGTCAACAAGGTGAATGATGATCAACAGACACCTATATTTATAGCTGCTATTATTAGTATTAAAGGGTTGTATGAAGTTGTAATGTATCTGTTAAACACGGAGTAGATGTAGGGGAGACCGGGGTTCATTGAACATATGGGTACATTGAACCACCATGGATATTTCCTTTATAAATAATACTAGGCAACCCAAGACTACACAGAAGTGAGATAACTTCTTAGGCCTATTTCCCCGTCAATAGGCAGTAGCAACATGCTGTCAATTATTTTTTAGGCAATGATTTTTTTCAAAAGAGCTCTTAAAAGTGAAAATGCACTACTTCCACTTATCATTTTCCATACATGTTAACTGTTTAGCCTAGGCAATTCCTGTACTTAAAATCAGTTCATTATATATATGTCTAATCTACAATCCAGATAAACAGGGGGTTGATCCATAGAGGGCATATTGAATTTTTTTAAAATTTTGATCATGAAACTGTGATGTGACAGATTGCATTGAACCACTGTCAATGGAGTACTTTGAACCATGATTCAATGTACCCCAGTGCATTATAGTTTATATATCATTTGATAATTTGTAATATCTTTGAAAATAAAAACAATAGTAGGATATCAATTGATCCAACTCTGTAGGCCTGTCATATAAAAGGAATTAAAACTTCATGGGAGCAGCGTTCGAAACTTGGCTGTGGCATACAGGGGTGCAATGGGTCTTCCTGACTAAGAGTCGCTTGTCAGCAAATCAGGCTGTCCAAATTTAGACAGAATATTGGACAAATGTTGGTTTGATTCACTGCAAAAGTTGACTGGGATCCCACTATCCCACCAAACTGCCATTTACGGCGATTTGTAGGAGCCTAGGGAATCCGGACACCTGCTTGTTTCGATCGTTGCACGGATGTCAAATCTGTGGATATTTGTTCTTAAATAAACACTGATTGTTTGCAGATTCATTAGATCACTACGAAACAAGTGACTAGGTTTGTGATCCAAATTCAAATCTATGTTTAACATGGAATTTTTACCACTGTTCAATGTGCCCCACTATGTGGTTAAACCTCCCCCACTATTTTGTACAGCGGGGTACATTGAACAATTACAGCCAAGTGGATTAAAATGTGATATACAATAGCGACTATAATATGTCTTCAAACAATACAATAAAGTAAAGAGATATTCTTATAAAAACATTTGATATGGAAGGACAACCATGTATGTGAAAAAACTGGTTCAATGTGCCCCGCTCTCCCCTACATTTGATAAAGATCATAAATATATTACACTGTAAGCCTACGATGGTAGGGAGCCACGGTGGCCAAGTGGGTAAGGCGCTGGCTCGCTACCCTGGAGGAAGCGGCTGTCTAGTCGTTCGGATGGGACGAAAAACCGAGGTCCCGTGACTGGCATATACGTAAAAGATCCCTTGGGCCTTGATGTCAACTAGTTCCATCTCCATCATTATGCACTGAACTACTGTGTACGATCATTCAAAATAAAAATAGGGTTTCAACAAATCATTAGGCCTAAGCTGTCTTAAATTGCCTAACAATCAATACCTTTCTAACAGATTAAGAATTTCATTCTGGGACAATATTCTGAGGGCCTTACGACGAGTTTTCTGCTCTAGAAATACAGTCATGCTGGTGTCTCTTTTTTGTCAAAAGACCACATGACACCAGACCCAGGAATTATATTGGTGAAAGTGGACATAGAACTTTGTGAGGGGGAATGGATTGAAATTTAAACAAAGGCCTATGTGTTTTTGGCAATTTAAACTAGAGGGCGCCTCTGAATTAAATCTTGCTCACAGTACATAGCACCTGACGGACTCATTTGTATTCTGAAATTGGGCTTTATAAACATTGTTGATGAAAATAACCCATGTGTTATATGTCGTTGTTGGTCAATGGAGTCATTGTGATCAAACGGATGATCCAATATGGCAGTCAAAATCCAAAATGGCGGCTGGTTTGGGTAATTTTTCATGCAGCGTGGGCGCACCCTGTGTTTATTGAACCCATGAACCTCGCCTCGAATCCGAGTGAAATTTGCTACATGTTTTAACTCGATAATCAACATAGTAGTTAATGAAATTTGACATTTTCATAATTTCTGCTTCTGTGGATTTAGTGAAATAAAGATCTTCGAGTCATTAAAGCTAGCTAGCTTAGAAGTTTTTGTGTGCGCAGTGAGCCTACCCTAACCCGATTTTGAAAATGCAACATAGGAGGCTTCTGAAATTTAGCAGTCTAGTAGTTTATTCATCCCTTGATTTCTCGGTGAGGCCGGCCTTGGCCCGTGGACTAAACATTTAGCTGTTAGGAATTCAGGTCAGCCACCTAAGTTAGGCTATATTGGACCACATTGAAGTTGCTGTATTCACGTGCTGGAGTAACAGGAAAACGAAAAACGCGTTTTGGGCAGTCCAATTTTCCAATCTTTCTTAGGGGCTGGGGGGGGGGGGTACACGGAAAGATCCAAGATCCAAGATCCGCCACTGTAAACTGGAATTTTTCGTGCATTTCATATCTGCACTGCAACTATAACATCTATCGGGTCTGTACGCCCGTAGATTCCATGTTATAGCCCGACAAAAGGCTTGTGAACAGTGGATTGGGTACACAATATAACATCGCAAAGATTGCTTGAGATTATTGACTAAATAGTTGGTTGGTTAAAGATACATTATGGGAGATTTTTATAGAGAGTTGGCCATTCTTGCTATAACAGTTCAAAAGTAGATGATGAAAGAAGAATATATTGAAAATTTCAGTCAAATTACTTTATTCTGAACATAGTTATCATCGTTGTAATATTTGACTAGAAATGGTAGCGAAATGCGTCTTCACCTTGGCCGATCGTTTGATTGACAGGCGTTAACTCCACCTACATATCTCGATTATCAAGTAAAGTTTTCAATGGCATACGGAAACGCTCTACAGCGGCCTCGCTAAGTACACTCTATCATTTAGCCTCGATCTAACTGACGTATTTTCATCAGGTTGCCCCATATTTGATTTAATCAATTAGTGAAATCCTATTTAAATCCGAGCTGTAGCCGAGCCATCCGTGGGTCTACAGAGTTGATTTTGGGCTTGTTGTTTAAATAAAGATCTAATTTATAATTTTTATAACATCTGAAGCCTAAATTAAGACTTGCAATAATCCGATTTAGCTCTTGCATAATGTATGTTTAAATAGTTTTACAACAATGGGTTCTGAACGTTCTCAATTGAGAAATATAATTTAAGCAATATGGTAGCCCCGGTGGTTAAGTGTGTAAGACGCTGACTGACTAAGCAGTATCCTGGATTACTTCCCGTCAAACAACAGCATAATTGTTGGAATTATATCTTGGTGCATACCGGTAACATATATATGGCATGTATAGGGTCACTACTGTATGCATTGTTGCCACGTTTATTTCTTATTCTTTGAAAAATACATGTTCTGGAACAAACATTTTACTAAACTGATATAGCACTTTGCCAGTCGGAAAGTCAAACTCGCCTCCTTCCACTATGGGGCTGACATGTTGATTCTGTACCAGGCTATCCCAGGGCCATCTATCAGCGATAAAATAAACTAAAGATGGCACCGTTTGTGGCCAGCATGCAGTTAGAGGTGTAATTATTTGGTGTCAAATTAGTGTGTTATTAGAGTTCGGGCACTTTTGTTTGCCACCTAATAATAATTTCTGTGTTTACTTTACTTGTCTGCCCGAAAAGTCATTTTGCCCCACCCACCCCCTGGCCGTACCCCTATGCACGAGGAAGAAAGATAAACAGGGTTTAAACCATGACATTTCGGGACTAACATGTGGTCCAATTTCATATCAATAATTTGTTTGCCAGTATGGGTCTTTATCAGTGAGAGGTAACCGGAAGACTCATAGAAAACCAACGAGGTTGCACAGGTAACCTTACTTACGTGCATGTGGGGTATCGAAACCATGGCAACTGGAAGTGTTTGACCATCCAACTGCCCTGGGGTCATCAGAGGACGAATCCTATCCATATTCAGCGTTGCATGACCTTACCGTTTAGAGTTACCCCCCCCCCCCGCCCATTTGTCATAAATCTTGTGACTCGATTGCTGCTTAAAGAAATGGGGTTTAATATCTGGAATAATGAAGACCAGTTTACACCTTACAGTGTGGTATAAGAGGCTACAGCCTACTCTTATTTCGAATTTCAACTGTCAAGGGTTCTTTTACGTGTCTGCCTATTTGTACACGGGATCTCGATTTTTTGTCCCATCCAAACAGCTAGATAACCAGGCCCTGCGTCCTACACCACTAGACCCTGTCCTTGCCAGGTCCTGCGGCCTACACCACTAGAGACTGTCCTTGCCAGGGCCGGCGTCCTACAACACTAGACCCTGTCCTTGCCAGGCCCTGCGTCCTACACCGATGTTCTAACAGATTCTCTTTCGAATTTACTATGAAGTATTGAAGTCATTGGAGGACAAAATCGATACTCGGCATTCCATAACCTTCCGTCCCACAGTTAGAGGCTGTGGTTTTGAATGATTTTGTTCCACATCTGGTATAAAAGGATGACGAATCCTATAAATATTCAGTTTTGGGACATTCTGTTCCCGAGTCACCCTTCTTTTCCGAACAGGATAGAGGTTGAAGGCAACCATGTCAAATTTGTTTAACATTATTAATGTTTTGCTTTCGGATCAGAAGCTGTCAAGACATGGCTGTTATGTGGACGTATTTCCTATAATAATCCAGATAATTAAAATAAAATCCAAGCCCTGGCCCAATTCAAGTGAAATCAGGTTTACCGGTTCACTGTTCTGTCCGGACAGCAGCGTTTTTTGTCCCACCCGAATGACTAGACACTGTTCCCTTCCATAAAAATCAAACCCGTGGCCTACTGATAAGTAAACCAAGGCAAAATATTTCGTACCAGCGTTATCTAAACTAGAAAACCAGTTATATAATGAAAATACCAAGCCTGATCTTCACCTTTTTGGCTGACAAGTAGATTGGATTGTATGAAAAACCCACGTCTAGTCGTGAACACAGTGGCAAGCGTGTAAAAAGACTGCTGACAGTTAGCAAAAAAACATATTGTAATGTTTATTTCTATGGTTTTATGGACAATGTGAGATAGGAGAATTTTACCCAGACAGTGGCCTTTCCATGAACCTCTTTCTCGATTTCCAAATGTCAATGGGTTTTCTACGTGCACACCAATATGTATACATATGGATGTTGATTTTTCATTATATATAAATGATTTAAAAACAATATTACATTGTTTATTAACTAATAAATAATATTTATAATTTATGAGATGAGTATAAGAATTATAAAAAATATTTTTAAAACAGACAGGAGCTTGAATCACGCCTCCTATAGGCCCACCATAAGCAACAAGAACTATTATAGCAAGAACTGTCAGCTCTTTATCTAAATCTTATATTGTAAGGTTATCGACACCCTGTCCGTATCGATGTCTACTATAAAATAAATGTGGGGATGGGAGAGTGGGATAGCCAAATAGCTGGACTTGTCAGGATCTCCGAGCTGGCGTCTTATATTCTGTTGTTTTCCTCCTTCAATGTCTAACGACTAAGACTAATAATACGTTCAATATGCCCGTTCCTTTAATTCAAGGTTATGTCATGACATGAATAACAATAAAATACAGTTAGTAAATCATTCTATAATATATTAAATATGGGAGATAACGTTCACAAACCCTTAACGTCCTTGACGTCGCACATTGGTTAACCCGGTGATAATGGCGGCATATTCTGCCGATTAATGATGACATTTGTAACATTAACATGTATGACCAAGTTCCATCACGACCACGATTCTCACCTTTCTAATTAGTTAAAAGGTTGTGAATATACGGTAGTTGTTAAAAAGTTTCGGTTTTATCTCTTGGTTACATATTAATACAACGAACAGTTATCTGCCCTTAGGGCGTTGTTGTTGTTTATTGCACGATATTATGGACAGGTTGATTTAATTAAGTTATTTACATCTGAATGAGTAATATATAGAAAATAGGTAAAAACACTAAATAATAAAAAGTTCTTGTATATCTAAAAGTCACTTTAAAACACAGTTTTAACATCGCTGTCGTGAGAAGAGAAGAGAGGGCTGGTCATCTTCTCACTTTGTCATAATTAAAACAAGTTAAAACAGGAGATGAAATACTAGTGTTAACAATGATCAAATAGAAATATATGTAACAATCTGAGAAGTCGGTGCTAAGATGGACGTGACACAAGATGGAGGCTAACAAGTAAGTAGAACTTGTAAGTTTTATATCAAATATTACAATAGGCCTATATAAAAGACCGGATTCTATATATTACAATATATTGCATATTTAAGAAAGAAAAATTAACGGTAGAAAATCTCCCAAGTCGGATAAAACAGAAGATTACAGGTGGCCTTGACTTTTGATCATACCCCATTTATATCATCTGTAGAAGATTCCGAATATTGACACGTTTTTAATTTATCATATCTTTGTAAAATACTCAACAGAATATTTTTATACTGACACGCCTCCCAGAGATTCAATTTTTACAATATTGTAGTTTGTAAAGGATTCCTCAATATCTCAAATGTCAGACATTGAATACAATGTAAATAAATATTTTTGTAAATTTGAAGCCAAGATTGTGGAATATACATATTTGGTATGTTTATCTACAAAAGTAGAGGTATATTTTAAATTATTTCAATTTTTTAAAGAAATCTACAACTTCTTCTAGTTCTCTTTGTTTAGCTTGTTTATGTGCACATCTATTCTCCATTACTTCAGCTGACACTTTCCATTTTTCATTCGTTTATCACAGGAAGGACATTTTTTACCTCCTGAAAAAAAAACCAAACATAATCTTATATTATGTGTTACTATTTATTTTAAATGTAGATTAAGTGATATAACATGAAATGGGGTTTAACGTCCTACTTTTCTGCTTCTACAGGACTAATGAAGATCGACATACGTCATACAGTGTACTATGAGGGAAAGTTTACTCAGACAGCGACATTCCCATCTAGTCTTCCACGACATTCCAACTGTCTGTCAAGGGTTCTATTACGTGCACGACAATGTGTACAATATGGAGCCTTGCGTTTCTGACTCAGTCAAATAACAGAATACACTTTTAATTTTCAGTCAACTATCTAAAGTGAGATCCGTGGTTTGAATATCGAGCAAATTTAAAAATTAAACAAAACGAATAGAAGACACAAGTAACACTTAATAAACATATCATTTAAGCAGGTGTAAAGTTTTAGTTTTCTTCACCAACTGAGGTAATGAAGACGGTCGCCATGACTTCCAGCAGTATTATAAATATTTACCTATAAATGAAGGTGTTTTCATGTACGTATCTAAACAACCATTATGAAACAGATGACCACAATAAACTCTCTCTATCTGATTTTTACGACCTTTCAATTGATTCTGAAATAAAATATTTTTCACACATTATCTAATTGTTCTGACTTAAAGTTTTAGATTTAATAGTTTTTTTTTTTCAACTAGTTTATAATAAACGGCTGCATCCTAGATTAAACCATTATTAATATTATACAGTCTTTGTCAAGTTTGTTGTTAGGGAATTGATATTCTTTGGTTATTAGACAAAATATAAAAACCATTACCTCAGGATCTTCAGCTAAAACAGTGGACAGTTTTCTAGTGGATATCTCTTGACACAATCACGTATCAAATAATCACAAACAACTTTTAATGACGGTTTATGTTCGAATACAGCAGCTCTGAAAAACATAAACAAAACATACGTTTTCTTTTATAGATAATGGAGACAATATTTACAAGACGCTAAAAACATATCAAGGTATTGTTTATACAATTTATAACATTATTCCAATTTTTTAGATATATTTTGTAGTGTTTTTACACATAACAACTATCAATGTAACTGTATTTATTGTATTTTAAGGTTAAATTATTAGAAATTCTAATTGTTTAATAGTACCAGTTGGTCAAATGGATTAAATCCTATTTCTATATCACCCACAAAGGATAACTCTATTTTGATTTATCTCCCCTTAAATTTGTCTGCCTTATCCATCACTCAATAAAAACAATTTACAAATATTTCTAAGTAATATAGTAAATCTCCCCTTAAACCAGAATTTAAAACTTGTCTGCCGTATCACTCCATTCAAAAAAAAATATTTCTAAATAAAATCGTAAATAACGAGTCTATGTCAAGATAGACAGAATCAAGTTCCATGTGATTACTGGTAAACAACAACAAATATAAACAAAGAAATCTGGAGAGATATATTCTAGAAATCAAATAGGCTTTAATCATTTAACCCCGAGTCTGACATGAGAAAAGTGGATGTCAATTTATAAAATGAAAAATAAATCAATTTTTCTTACCTTCTATAGTAAATATATTCTTTCAACATCATTTCAAATATTATTCTATTCCTCTCCAATCATATCTCTTGGTTAATATAATTCATTGTGTTGTTATTTAAAACAATATTGGGTTAAAGTTGACTTTGATGACCACCAAAACATCACATCAGTTGATTTTCTATTCCTGTTATTCAACCTGGTAATACTACTTTCAATTTGTTTATAAATAGATTTAACGTGACCTATTGACTTGTGACGTAATAACCAATGACGATGTAAAAACTTGTAATGACGTGTTACTAGTTTTAATGGCTGACAGGTAGCCAGTCTGTGTACAGAATGTTGTTGATTGACAGAAAATGGTTTATAACAAATCTTTAAATTTACATCAAAATAAAACATCTTCATCATTTAGTTCTAACAGAATTATTAACAAGTAAAATAAAGATGTTGTATGATTATTTATATTCTATTTATCAAGGCCTATTTAACATAAATATGATACACATTTTGATTTACGCCACCGACGAGTCCAGTCTAATAAACTACCATAATCACGACACTTGACATTTATATTCTATTCATCAAGGCCTAATTCACGTAAATATGATACACATCCTTTTCTACGCCACCGACGAGCATATTCTAATAAACTACCATAATCACTCTTAACATGTAACATGGCACCAGCAGAGAAGAGTAACTGTATCTTATCTAACGGCTGTTTGTCAGACAACACACACTCAAATACTGGTGTCATATTAGCATCATTCCTATCATTTTTATCAAGTCCTTGTTCCAATAAATATTTTACACAGTCTATTGTACCCCACTCACACGCATAGTGTAATAAACTATTACCTTTATAACCCTTAACATGTAACATGGCACCGGCAGAGAAGAGTAACTGTATCTTATCTAACGACTGTTTGTCAGACATCACACAATAAAATACTGGTGTCATATTAGCATCATTCCTATCATTTGTATCAAGTCCTTGTTCCAATAAATATTTTACACAGTCTTTTGTACCCCACCGACACGCATAGTGTAATAAACTACTACCATAACGATTCTTAACATGTAACATGGCACCGGCAGAGAAGAGTAATTGTATCTTATCTAACGACTGTTTGTCAGACAACACACAATAAAATACTGGTGTCTGATTAAAATCGTCAGGAATATTTAAATCGATATTTTGATGTATTAAAGTTTTGACATCATCAAGTGTACCATGTTCACAAGTTCTACGTATTGATTCCCAGTCCATTTTATTGTTGTCGGTTGTTTTATTATAGTTAGTTGTTTTTACATCTTGTGTAACAAATGGTTGGTTTAATAATGGAGTTGTTGATGTGATGGTGGTGGCCATATTGTTTTGTATAGATGTCTGACTATATTTAACATCATCTGAAATTATATAATATTCATACTAGTTGATTACCTGTTCATATATATCGTTCTGATGGTGGTTAAAAACCCTGGCCATCTTTAAACTAGGTTATCTTTGTTGTCTGAACGTACAGGTGGGGTAATTTCGAGTAGGATATACACCTGAGTTATTTTAATTATATTTATAACCCTTGACCATGGTTTGTCACAACATGTGAAAGATATACAACCCCTGGCTTAAAAACACTTCAACTAGAAAATTACTTGCCATTTCTTTAATTATTAATTAAAATGGCTAAAACGTAATGACATACCTGGAATTGTCATCCCTTTGCTTTCTTCATCAGTATCTGTAATAGAAACATATATATTAGTAAGTACAGAACAAAGATAGGTTGCCAGACAATGAAACAAACTCACACCAAGGGCGGATCCAGGGACCATGGACAGGAGGGGGCGCACGCGGCGAAGTCGTAGGAGCACCCCCTCCTAAGATAGATATATTAGTAAGTACAGAAGAACCGTACCATGTAAACAAAGATGGGTTGCCAGACAACGAAACATACGCACACCAAGGGCGGATCCAGCGACCATTGCGGAAAATTTCGAAAACTAGAAACCCGGAATACCATTTTTCCAGTGACCTGAGTGAGACAAGAATCTGTTTTAAAGTGCGTCCACTGGATCGACATAGTGGCGGGGGGGGGGGCGCAGCGTTTGCCCCACCCCTAAATTCACTCTTACTTGCCATTTCTTTAATTATTAATTAAAATTAAAATGGCTAAAACGTAATGACATACCTGGAATTGTCATCCCTTTGCTTTCTTCATCTATTAGTAAGTGATCTGTATCATCCGTATCTGTAATAGAAACATATATATTAGTAAGTGCTGAACCGTACTATTTAAACATAGATAGGCTGCCAGACAACGAAACAAAAGAGCGGATCCAGGGACCACAGGCAGGAGGGGGCGCACGGGAGGCGAATTCGCACGTTGGGGTGACGACAATATATATACGACCAGATTTGATAAAAGCCCAGAAGACAACCCCACTCTGACAAGACACAGAACAGATTGTAATCAAACCAAGTGATTATAAATATAGGCTACCGTACCTATGTAACATGTATTAAACATACTTTAGTCGTTACAGCTTTCACAAGGTTCAACCATATCATATAGATATAGGCCTAATGTGTAACACCGACCATAACTCTAGTCTAAGTCTTGAAGTAATTAAATAGACTTCATCGTTTCACTAAATTGTGGACGACGGACGGATTGATAGACGAACGGTAATATGACCACATTTCCATGTACAAGAAAGAAAAAAATTCTGCAACTGAGTCAACCTGTCTTCACAACATTCTTCTGCTAAATGAAATCTCTTGTTGACTGTCGTCTGCTGAATGACGTCACTTGACGACGGTCGTTTGCCAAAAGACGTAATTGAATTAGAACGTTAAAAACATTGACGCCATGTGCTATTTTTCAATAATTGACAAGTTATCGCTGATCAGATCAGCCATTTTTAAAAATGTATATTTTCAGTCTAGAAAAGCACTGCTTTCTTGATTTGTTATCATTCTGGGGTCATATACTTAATTGTATCTAAATAGAGGGCACAGACTGTCGGATCCCCCTTGGAGTTTCGAGACAGGACCAGTGCAATGTCCAAAAATAACCCAAAATCTTTGCTAGGTAAATTTCTTCGTTTAAATATGTGTTGGACCTAATAATGTGTTGGAAAAAACAACATAAATACCCAGTACTAATTATTTCATACACACACCATACGTGATTGTTTAAGATTATTTGAAGGCCAGGTCGACTTATTTCCCTGACAATTATTAAAATAAAATACAATTTAGCTTGATTTGTTTGATTGGTCATTTGTAAATATTCATCTTTCGAATCAGATTATACTATTTTTGAATATTGCTGTCATCATTATGCATAATGACTCCTACCGGTATAAAAAAAAATTATTTGAGCAATGTTAGTAGGCTAGAACCAGAACCGTATGATGTTGCTTAGCAACACAGTCGTATTGAATTTTTGGGAAATCAAGGCACAACACTGTTGAGAGATATTGAAAATTGTAGAAATTTATATAATAGATGAATAGCCTGGGTTTTGAGTTCAGGAAAAGTCACCGGTTAAATATGCTCATCCATTTAGACCATTCCTTTTTAGAATTAAGGTATAAAAGCTTCGTAGACAAACTGTAAAATATCAAGTTGTTGGAAAATTTTGTGATTTGATCTCTGACCCCTGCAGGACCATTTTGCTATAGAATAACAGACAAAAAGTTGAGAAATATTGATTCAAGAGAGATAACTACATATTGTAGGCCTATTGACGATAAATAATCCATGAAACTCGTTTGATTTGTGATAGGCTACTTAAAAATGTTTCTATTGTTTTATTTTACAGCGAATCTCATTCACTCAGTCTCTCTGCCAGAAGAAATTTATATTTATCAGATGTTGAAAGATGTTATAGATGATTTATTGTTGAAATGTTGAAAAATAATAAAACTTGAATATTTTGTGAGATTTCGAAATTTTGTTGACTTATGAGAAGAAAACATTGAAATTAATATGTTCCTATCGGAATAAACATGATTGCACGTAACCGTATTAACAAAATATCAAGATCAGTTGTCACCCTCAATCACAATCATAGGAGCAGGGGTCAATTAATTTCCAATGATTAAATAGAACCTTAACTTCTGTTGGTTTCAGAGCATAATGTGTTCTTCGTGTAGGCTATCAAGATCGTGACCTAACCTCTGATTTAAAACTTTCGGGAAATTCACATACTGATAAAAAAAATGGTTGCCAGAATTAAATAATGGTCACCAAAATAGCTGAAAAATGCAATGTTTTTTTCAATGATTCTTATGATTCTACAGGTCAATGTTTTTCGTCCTGAAGAAGAATAAATTATCCAAAACAAAGTTATTACATGCGTAATTAAAGCAACGAAAACTACATTTTTTTTTTTAAAAAAAAAGAAGAAATCAACTGATCTCTATACCCACTCTCCACGACAGGGCTGAGGTCACTGGAAGAAAACTTGGACCCATACATAAAATTAGGTAGATAGACCCTTACACTTTTACACCAAAAATACTTTGAGTCCTAATGTTATATATACTGTAATACTATTTGATAATTTATGCGAAATTGTATTAGACGAATATAAGTGCACCAGAGAATATGAGTTATAATTTGATAATTACATATGTTTTATTTCTATTCTCCATTGTCAGTATATTAGTTATGGTATGAGTTTATTTAAAACGCAAATTAAATTGGTTATGAAATATTGTGAGGAAAACAGAAGGGAAATCTGTGCTGATATGATACATGAATTGAACTATCTAGGTTAATAAACACATTTATCATACGTCATCTTAATGGCATGTGACCTGTTGACCAAATTTGGTAATGAGACCCTATAGGTATGCAAGGCATGAGGCATGACCAACCACATGATTAAAATTACGTAATATTTGGCCAATTGAATAATTAGTAGCGGAAATCTCGGCATAAACAAGTAACTGGATTTGGACGCTATGGCAGACAGCCATGTAGTTCTTGAAGGGAGAGGATGTAGCGTCGAGTTTGGCTGGATGGAGTTTGAGAGAATGACTTTATTATAATGCTTGTAACTATGTAACCTATATGTAGCAGTTTTTAATATAAAATGTAGAACCGAAATATGGCATTTGTTGTTTCTGTTATTGATATCATTCAATGTCATACGAGTATTAAATATAATTATATATGGTACTTGTCATATCGAAAAATGGTAACGTTTGGATGAATATTATTGGAGATATTTTAAAATAATAACCGCTACACTGTAATTTATACAGCCATCTTACGAGGGAGATTTTGTTCGGCAAGCGGCGTTTTCTTTTACTCTTTTTCGACGTCCAGCTGCCAAGGGTTCTTTTACGTGCACAACAAAATGTACACAGGCCCAGTTTTTCATCATCTCCGAACCACTAAACACTGTCCCCTGCAAAGCAATTTCGTTAAAATCCACCATTATTGTCTTTTTATGGTGTTCAGCCAATTTCTGACCCATCGGCCACGAAAGGGTTAATGATCTAACGAAGTCGTCACAATGCGAATTGTAACAGGGTTGTGTTTTGAGACTCTGTCAATTGTAAGTTGTTAATGAATGGCCTGGCCGTGTCTTTATTAGTTGGTGTTTTGAATGGGGTCTTCCCATATCGCCGACTCACCGAGTTTTGGAAAGTCGACCGCGGCACCCTTTGATTGGATTAAAACGGATTAAAAGCGTTAATGAGGCAGGGACCAGTCATTATTAATATAGTTCACTGAAATTGATTTTCACCACAGACCATTATTGACTTTTTTGCCGAAACAATTATTAAAATTCGTGAAAAGTTTGTTGACTCCCCCCCCCCCCCCTTACACTGACATTAATGTCCCACCCCAGTGTAATTTCTCTGCTTTTGAGCCATTGAATGTTGATGATGTAATATCAGTGGTGTGTCGAATGAAGTGTAAGTCGTGCTCTGGACCCAATTCCTACAAAACTACTAAAAGAGTGTCTGGATGAAATAGCACCAGCTTTGACGATTATTATAAATGATGTGCTCTCCTCTGGTATTTTCCGGATGATTGTAAGGAGGCCATTGTAAGACCTCTGATTAAAAAAACAAGTCTTGACCATAATGCACTCAAAAGTTATAGACCAGTGTCAAATATTTCATTTTTAGCAAAATTGCTTGAAAAGATCATTTTATCTCAAATAATAGATTATCTCAATCGAAACTCAATGGTCGGTAAATTCCAGTCTGCTTATCGAGAGGGGCATAGCACTGAAACCGCACTCCTTAGAGTGCATAACGATGTTATAGATATGAACAAGGAAGACTGAATTTATTAGAATTTTTGGACTATGTTGGACTGCGTGCAAAAATTTAAAATTGTGTTATGTTATGTATTATAAATTAAAAAAAAAATAAATGCTCCCAAAATTATCTGCTTAATGAGGTTTATCCTTCAGCTTGGGTCTATTGTTCTTGGCCACTCATTCCCATAACGTCGAGCAAAATTTTTCCCCTAAAACTCGGTGAGTCGGCGATATGGGAATGAACCTTTTGAATAAGTATAGTTTTGTTTTTAAGCCAATATAAATTTGTATAAATGTTTTGGTGGTGGATTATATATTGTATGCATCTAGAATTGTATTGTTAGGATTATGGTGGAAATGTTTTAGTCTTTATGTGGGTTTAGTTCTCAATATTACTCGTATAATTGAATAGGAAAACTGATTGAAGTCTTTCAGTTTTGAAGACTGTCTTCTTCTGAAAAGGTTGTTTATCAGGTTATCTGTGATTGGTTGGTTATTCTTAAGTGTAGCTGGGATAAAACTAAATTACATCCATGCACCTAGTTTGTTTGCGATATCACCTTAGGTGGAAGTGGACGTAATACTCCAGGAACGAACAAACGATGCATCTGGTCAGTTTATCAGATTCAGAGCGAAACATTCACTTAAATATAAATCAGTTCGTTTGCCGTCTTCATCTATGAAATGGTTTGGCCGATAAAAGTGCGACTGAATTAAAGAAATTTTAGGAACTGTATTTTAAAACGAATTTGGGCCAAACGTTTAAAACCGATTTTTCATTTTTGTGAAACGGATCTGGGTGTGTCCGATTGTTTCTTTAAAGCCTTTACATAGGGTGGGGAGGAAAAGTCGGGTTTTTATTTACGTTTTAAATTATATCTCAAGTCCCTTAATATTACACAATTGTCGCTAACGCCAATAATCTTTTCCACAGGGCCGCCATTTTAAATCGTATGGCT